ATATGATCATCTCAATAGAGGCAGAAAAACATGAAATTTATCACCCATTCACGTTAAAAATAAAACTGCTGGAAAACTAACAGAAGCAAACTTCCTCCAACCTGATAAAAAACATCTATGAAAAACCTACAACTAACATCATACTTAATATGAAAGACTGAACAATCTGTCTTAACACTTCTCCTTAACACTTCTATTCAACATTGTACAAAGGTTCTTGTCAGTACAATATGATAACTAAATGCAACGTGGGGTTCTGGATTGGATCCTGGATTGGATCCTGGAATGGAACTGATTTCAAAGAAGTATGTCTTAGTCATCTAGTGCTACTATAACAGAAATACCACAAGAGGATGGCTTTATCAAAGAGAAGTTCATTTCCTCACAGTCAAAGTAGGCTAAAAGTCCAAATTCAGGGTGTCAGCTCCAGGGGAAAACTTTCTCTGTCGGCCTTCTCATCAGTGTTTCCCCGGACTAGGAGCTTCTCCACGCAGGGACCCTTGTCCAAAGGACGCGCTCTGCTCCTGGCACTGCTTTCTTGATGGTATAAGGTCCCCCTGTCTCACTGCCCACTTCTGTCTTTTATTTCTCAAGAGATTGCCTCAGGACACAATCCAGTCTTGTAGATCAGGTCCTGCCTTACTAACACAACTGCCACCCATCCTCCCTCATTAACATCATAGAGGCAGGTTTACAACATACAGGAAAATCACACAGTACCAGGAATCATGGCCTAGCCAAACTGATACACACATTTTTTGGGGGATATAATTCAAACCATGACAAAGTATAAGGAAATTTTTTGGAGTAATGGAAGCATTCTGTAATCATGATTGTGGTGATAGTACACAGTTACAAACAGTTTGTCAAACTCAATCTGTACACTTAAAATTTATGTGTTTTAGTGTTATATAACTTATTCAATAGAGTTTATTAAATTTTTAAAAATAAATTCCTATTCTGAGGCATTTCAGTTGAATAATTAGAGTCTATTTTATATTGGGTGAAACAAAGTATGCATCATGATTGATTGTGAAACTAATATTAAAACTTGTGCATCCAAATTGTTTATTCAATAAATATTTACTAGGTACCTACTATATGCCAGGCTTTATGCTACTCATAGGATACAAATGTGAGGGAAAAAAAGTCCTTGTCCTTGAGACAGCAAGTGAACAAAAGCTACTATCAACATATAAATTGCTCTGAGAGAATGATGTACCAAGGTGCTTGGAGAGCACACAGAAGACAACGTCTCAGAGAAGGCTTCAGAAAGAATACAGTCCCTTTCCAAGAACTTACTCTGTAAAGCTATTACACTTATTCCAGTGATATTCATCCCAAATACTCAAAGCTTTAAAAACAAAAAACCTACTTCTTTTAGTGTTTTCTCATATTTTACCGCACATATTTCTTGTGAGGAGTCCCTAAGTGGTACAAACAGTTAATGCACTCAAATGCTAATCGAGAGGTTAGAAGTTCGTTCCACCTAGAGGCACCTCAGAACAAAGGCCTGATGATCCACTTCCAAAAAATACAGCCACTGAAAACACTACGGAGCACAGTTCTACTCTGACATACATGGGGCTGTCATGACTCAGAGTTATCTGACTGGCAACTGGTATTTCTTTCTAGAGAAAAGTCTTAGTACTTCAAGGGTGTGGTTTAGTTGTTTTTTTTAAACAGCTGTCTTAGTTATCTAGTGCTGCTATAATAGAAATACCAAAAGTGGATGGTTTTAACAAAGAGAAGTTTATTTCCTCACAGTAAAGTAGGCTAAAAGTCCAAATTCAGGGCATCAGCTCCAGGGGAAGGCTTTCTCTCTCTGTCAGCCTTCTTCTCTTGAGCGTTCCCCCAGCCTAGGAGCTTCTCCACGCAGGGACCCCAGGTCCAGAGGACGCACTCTGCTCCTGGCACTGCTTTCTTGGTGGTAGGAGGTCCCCCTGTCTCTCTGCTCACTTCTCTCTTTTATATGTCAAGAGACTGCCTCAGGGCACAATCCAATCTTGTAGATTGAGTCCTGCCTCACTAACACAACTGCTGCCCATCCTCCCTCATTAACATCATAGAGGCAGGATTTACAACACAAGGGAAAATCACACACTACTGGGAATCATGGCCCAGCCAAACTGATACACACATTTTTGGGGGGACATAATTCAATCCATGACAACAGCCAAAAGTTATTTAGAGCTAAATTTAGTGAATACTATTCTGGAAACCAGAATATAATGAAGTCAATAAACTTGTTTTTCTATGTGCTTTATAATGTGAAGATTGCTGGAATAATGTATATAACCTCTCAACAAGACTACTTCAAAGGGTTTTGCCTTTTGAGTGATTAACTAGTGGTTTGTTTTTTTTGTTTAAAAAGGGGGGGCGGAGAGGATGGGACTTAATTACTTTGAAATTAAACCTCATTAAAGGTTGTCATTATTTGAAAAGACAATTTAAACTTCTTATATTCCTATATATACATATATCCACCACCCATCTGTCAGTTTGTCATACTGCAGTGGCTTGTACATTGCTATGAGGCTGGAAGGTATGCCACTGGTGTTTCAAATACCAGCAGGGTCACCCCGTGGTGGATGGGTTTCCGCGGAGCTTCTAGACTAAGACAGACTAGAAAGAAAGGCCTGATGATCTACTTCCAAAAATTAGCCAATGAAAACCTTATGGATCACAACAGAACACTGTCTGACTCACTTGCTTTGGATATGTCATCAGGAGGGATCAGTTGCTAGAGGAGTACATCATGAAGCAGAGGTGAAGTAGAGGGCCAATGAGAGCATGATGACCTTCAATGAGATGGACTGGCAACGTCACAGTGATGGACTAAAACATACTGGCAATTGTCAGGATGACACAACACCGTGCAACATTTTCTTTTGTTGTACATAAGTCTGTCATGAGTCGTAGTCAACGGCAACTAACAACAATACGTGCATATGTGCCTAGGTTTGAATCTTGGTTCAGTTATATCGCAGCTAAATGTCCTTGAACAAAGTGCTTAACGCCTCAGTGTCCTCATCTGTAAAATGGAGATAATGGTAGTATCTGCTTCACAGAGTTTTTGTAAATATTAAATGAAGATAATTCATGTAAATGAGATAATCCATATATTAAACGAGATCATGTAAAGCACTTACAACAGGGCCTGGCACAAAATAAGCACTTAATAAACATTAGTAATTACTATTATGCTAATATGTAAGCAAAGTATGTAAACGTCTAGACTAAGAGTAATCATTAAAATATGAAGTGGAATTATAAAAAATAAAAAGCATAAAGAAAATGTCTTTAAAGTTAGAGACTAAAATTCACTGACTTTTACAATATAAGAGAGTTCATTTTTCATTATTCTGAGAACATCTAGTTATCTTAATGGTCAATAACAAAATGTGCTAGGCATATTACAGGTTCTCAATTAATACTTATTGAACTATTTCAATACATTGAGATAATCTTAATAAAGGAAACATTTTGTCAGTTTTTGACCCCATTAACTTGTAAATCTACTTTAGATAGTATCTCTTTCAGCTGCTGAATTATCTTGCCATTCCTCTCCCTGGACATCTAAAATTCTTGAGTGAGAGATTTTAAGATTTTCTTCCCATTTGGACAGCAAGATCTACATTTAGAAATACACTGCTTCAACCTGCTTTCCAACAACTGCTCTTCAAAGTGTCTATGTACAATTAGGAAAATATAAAAGGGTTAAATGTTACAAAAACAAGTTTTAGGCAATAGAGAAACAAATAAATGACAAAGAATATAGAAAAAATAAAAAGAAATTCCAATCAAGGGCCATCTGTATATTTTTAATATATTGTTTGGTAAAAATCATGCTCCACATCTGTGTGGCAAACCAACAAAAACCCATTGCCATCGAGGCGATTCCAACTCATAGTGACCCTACAGGGACAAAGCAGAACTGCCCCACAGGATTTCCAAGGAACAGCTGGTGAATTCGAACTGCTGACCTTTTGGTTAGTGGCTAAGCTCTTAACCACTGTGCCACCAGGGCTCAAGCTATGTAGCAAGTGCCTATAAACTCCTAGATGTATTCATTTTTATACATTTATATTACTCTTATATTTGCAGTCTAAATTGCACATCAGATTGAGATTTGTCTAATCTGAGACGGAAGTCAGTTTTCTACTACGGTTATATAAACTGTTCCTGAAGATAAGTGAATTTATACACGTTTTAAGGTGTTTTGTGTAGTTAGGACAAAATTTGAGAAATGTCTGAAAGATTCTTTCTTGATTGTCATAGTCATACATGCACACATGGCACGCACATGCACAAATGCAACTCAATCCTTCAATGCAACTGCTTCGTAAACTGAATGACATTTTCACCAGTCAATATTTTAATAAAAACTTAATAAATTCTGAAAAGATGGTGCAACTGACTAATACTTTGATTCTTTCAAATGTATCCCAGAGAGAGAAAGGGAAAAACAACACAGTGCTGGTGTTTGAAGGCTATTTGATAACGAACAAAGCTAATAGTTCTGGTTTTTAAAAAGCCTTTTACATGCTCCATGTGCAATCATTTCAATGAAAAATGAATACATATTCCATTTGTGTTAAAAATAACATTAAAAAATTTAACTGATAAAGTTTTACTTTGTGGCAGAGTGAGATATAAAATGTCATCCCTGAAGAACCGCTTAATAGCGTAAAAGCCAAAACTGCCCAAATAAATATACACATCAATGTTTAATTTCACCATATCATTCTTACCAGGGTCTTTAAAATGAAACAAAACAATTCAGCACTTGTTCTACCTATCTGTACAAACTCGTGAGCTAAATTTCAAGGATATCTGGTGATTTAAATATTTACAAATCTCAACAGAAGTAGCTTGACAATAAGAGCTTCTGGCAGGAAACATAATTAAATCAACAAACGTTTACTGAATTGCCTACTGTGGACCACTGTGCTATATCCAAAGGAGCAGTTGTTATGCAATCAGAAAATGTTACTCACCCGCAAGTGTATAATCCATATCAAAACCGAAACACTTTATTTTTTCCATGGCTAAACTTCGGTTCACAAACACCCTATGTAGAAAGGAGTAAAAAACGATTTATCAGTTAATACTGAAACAAAAAAATTCTCATGTATAATGAAGCTATTTGGATATTTTTCTAGATGTTCTTATTTAAGTATCGATATTAAGATCCATAATAAAAACTATTCAAGTCGTTCTTAAACCATAAAAGAAACCAGATATTATATGAAAATATGTGAATTTGGTTTTTGTGTCCTGGCATTAACAGTGTATTCAAGATTTCAGGGAACAGGCTCTCCTTTTCAAAGCCTGACCCCATAAAATAAGCTTATTTATGGGATTTATCATTTGTTCACTCATTTATTTATAATTCATTTAATAAACAAAAGTTCATTAAAAAAATGGAAAAACATACCATGCTCATGGATAGGCAGACTCAACATTGTGAAAATGACAATTCTACCCAAAGCAATTTACAAATACAACGCAATCCCGATC